AGCCTTTGCCGTGCCAGGTCTGCGAGGAAGTGCGAAGCGAGCGGAACCGTCAAGGCAGCGAGGTGGGTCTGGAGGCGGAAAAGCGGCGTCAGTTTGACAAGTTATCCCTCGAGCAGAACAGTAACGGTTTCCACGGCATACCTGCACGCTCTCGAGTAGAGCATTGACCACACGCTCTCCGAGGAGTTTTCCGAGTCGACTCTCGAGCTTGATCCGCGGTGCGACCGTGCCGAAAGCTCCCTCCAACCGGATCCCTCTGCCTGCGGTATTTCCGCGACTTCTTCCTTTGCGTCGAGAGCTTGAAGTCGACCCTGACTCTGTCAAGGCGGACGCGGAGGCGAGCTCGTCTTCGTCGTCGTGACGCGACGTCAAGAGCACGCGCCCGCTCGTACGATCCCATCGCACGGGCAGACGGATCGCGATTCCATCCAAGTCGTCCTCGAGACCGCCGGCCTGGAAACTGCCTGCGGCCTCTGTACCGGCAAAAGAGTCTTGGTGGCTGTTCGAGCTATGCAACGCGCCGAGAGCTGACCGTTCGGCGATCTCGGTGGTAGCGACGCCTTTTTCTTCGAGAACTTTCATGCCGGTCACGAGTGCCGGAGCTGCTCTGAGATCGGCTCCGATGCGGAAACCGATCGAGAGCGTCGCTGCCAGGCCATGGACGCGGAGAACGAGTTCCCGGGCCGTCTTGCTCTCCGGCTCCGGTGACTTGCTGCCGCTTGATTCGCCCTCGAGCACGTCCAGAGTGTGAGGTTCCAGCTCGACGCTAGCTTCTTCCAACTCGATTTTGTCGAATCTCGACGGACCAAAGGTGACGTCCGGCGGTCCGCGCGTGAGCTGGTTCAGGATGGGCGAAGACAAGATCGAGTACCGCAGGCCGGTCTGGTCGCGCCGCGCAAAGACGGGCACCGCCACCGCGTCTCCGTTCTCTGCCGCCGATGCAGACGACGGCAAGGAAAGCGAGTGAAGGTGGATCGGGCCCAGGACGAGCGCATGAAGGCGAAGCGCAGTCGCCGAGGAAGGAGCCGTGGTCGTCGTGAAGGCGGCCGTGGTCGTGTCATCTCGATTCTGGTGATGAGGGTGGATGGAGTCGCGGGAAAAGCGCGCGAGAGCTCGATCCCTGTCCGAATCGCTGATCCTGGCGAACGGTGCGAGGTCGACGTGCTTGTCGATAAAACCCTCGAGGTCGCTCAAGAGGTCGGAGCAGACCGGTCCTTGCACGAGCTCGTGAACAAGAAAACCGGCGAAGCGGCGAGTCGAGATGCGGACCAGCGACGAGTTCCGTACATAGTGTGCCAGCGCTTCGAGGCGCAGGAACGGTACGAAGCCAGAGAGGGACAGGACGGAGATATTGCCGGGGTGAAAGTCGACGCGCTGGCACCGGAGGCCGGGCCGGGACGTCTGTCCAGGGGTAGCTTCTGCCGGTCGCGAGACGAGTCGCGTTCCTACGCGTGAGCTGGCGTCCGCCAACGTGACGTGAACCCGCCCGGACGCGCGCACGGCCCGACCTTGAGGCTCCCCCTCGCCTTCAAAGTGGTATCCTGCGCGGACACCGATGCTGCCGGTAAGGTCCAGCTCCACCCGATCCGCTGTGACCTCGATAGATTCCCTGCCGGTGTCGCGCGAGGTCGCGGTGGCGCTCCCGACCCTGAGGCGACGAAAGACCAGCTCGGACGCTGTCAGGTCGGCGTACAAGACGACAGTGCGCTCGAGGAGGGGTATGCGGAGTCGTTTGTATAGTCGCGGGAGGCGGGTTATCGGGATGACCGTGAGACCCGAAAGGTCGAGGTTGGCGACTCTTGCGGCGAGGACTGGTCCTGCGGCCGTGCACGGTCTTGCAGCAGCGTCTGAGGAGTGGCGATCGGCCTGTCGCACGGGTGTCCTTCCTGCATTGGTGCCGGTCCGCTGGTTGTTTCGTTCGTAGATGAAGAGGCGAGCAGCCACGGCGACGAGCAGGGCAGAGACGAGGACCGCCCCGAGAGTTGTCGGGACTCGTAGCATGTCAAGGACATCCCGCATGGCTGTCTGTGCGATCGTGCTCGTCACACCGGGTGACTCTGCGTGCGCCAGGTCTACATGTTTTGCCAGCACGAGACACTGCGCTACGATGACGCGCGCGGTGATCTTATATCACGTGCAGGACTCCCAGAGGTGACGTGGCGGGCCGTTGGCTGACCCTATACAGCCAGGCTCGTCAGCTAATTAGCTACAGAATGCAGATATGGCGCCCTCAACCTCAAGTGCCTCCAATCTCTGCGCCGAGAAACTGCAAAGATTCGAATTTCATTGCTCGTCAAATTAGAACGAAAACGTCGGGAGTTCACCACGACTGACGTTCTTCGCCAGCTCGGCGAGCCCGCTCAAGGTAGGATCCACCGAAACTGTCGCATGGGAGATCTCCGCCATGACCTGGGCGAAGCGGAAACTCTGTGTCGGCAGCGACGCGCGAGGAAGATCCAAAGCCGCGTGGCGCCACCGGTCGGTCGCTGCCGCAGCGTCGTCGCGGACAGCGGAGGTGTCCGGCTTGGCGGAGAGCGTACTCTCGACGAGACCCCCTGCTGTGTCGCCATTGCCGGCCTTTGGACCGAATGAGAAGATGGGGCTCGTCGACTTTGGCGCGCTTGCTTGACCCGGAACTTGGCGGGCAAAGGGGTTGACGGACGTTGGTGGGACGACGGGTGCAACGGCTACGGCGCCGGGAGCTCGTGCCTGGACTGTGCTGTGATCGAGCTCGTGGCCGGGGCTGATCGCTCCGGATCCTGACGAAGCCTCTTCGTCGGCGCTGTCGATCACCATGACTCCTGCATCGTCACTGCCGCCTTTGTCGAGCTCTTCGTCGCTCGCGACATGCTCGCCCGACTCGTCTGCCCGGTCGGACTCCTCGGTGCTCATCGATATGGTCTCGGCCTCGTTCTCCTCGCGGCTCCCCTCCGATGCCGACTTTGCGTCGTCGTCGTCCTCTTCTTCCTCGTCCTCCTCAGAGGACAGGATCTCGACGACAGCCACCTGGCGTTTGGTCTTCGTGACGATGTCACTTCGCTGCTTGGCGTCTGCAGGATTCGACTGCTGGAACGCCCGCGGGCTCGAGTGCTGCGGGCGCTGGTGCTGAAGGGTCTCGCGGCGGTAAGCCTGGATCGAGCACGGCGTCAGATATCATCTGCGCTGGCCGAGTCGGAATACTAGACTCTATCAGGGCTTACTGCTGGCATTGTCCGCTGAAGCAACTTCGTAGGCGACGCCTCCTTCGTTTCTGTGAGCGATTCTGCTCCTGAGGCGGCGCGGTCTGAAGACGTCGACACACTTCCTCCTTTCTTCTTCTGCTGATGAGTGTGAATCAATTGATCCCAACGCGTCAATCGACCCGATCGAGCGGCATGACTCGCAAAGCACGCTCACCAGGATAGCCGGCGGCAGTGCTGTACGCGACGAGGACACTGTTGTTGACAGGAAATTTTCTTCTGTGTCGTAGGGGTTCAAGATGCGCGTGATGTCCTCCTCGCGCCGAGAAGTCTTCGCCAACGCGGGTTCCTGCGGCACTTCGCTGCGCAGGATATCCATGACGAGGTCCGCTGCGCGCGTTGCGGTGCGCTTCGGGGCCGAGACGACTTGCGCGGCTGTGCACCGAGGCATGCATTAGGAGTCGGATCTCGTGAAGAAGTGAAGGGACCGAGACACGCACGATCGGTGGCCGAGCTGCGCGCGTTTGCCGCGGCATCGCGGGAGAGAGGCCGACTCGGCGAGACGGTTCCAAAGAGTTCGGAGGTGTGCCCTGACCCGCCCGTTGAACGGATCGGTGGTGATACGTCGTCGTCGGCAATCACCAGCCGGCGACGCTTTCCCGAGACTGCCGCATCGGGTCCGGCAGCAATCTCTGCTGGCGCTGGCTTGACGACGCGCTTGCGTCGACCTGTGTAGCCAGCTCCTACATAGAGAGGACGCTTGCGTCGGAATACAGGCGTGTTGGACGGGGCTTCTGAGGTCGTCCCAAACGCGGGCGGGTTGTTGAACGTTGCGAGCGCCGGAGGCTCGGGCCGAAAGTAGGGCGTGAATGCAGTAGGCGCGTCTATATGACGCCGGTAAAGATCGGTCAGGGGTGGATTGATCTCGGCGCAGTGCGAGAAAGGCATCCTCACCAACGCCAGTCGAAGTCGAAGGGCCCGCGCGGGGTGCGTCGAACTCGTCAGTCGCACGGGCGGATGATGCTGACTCCGACTTTGCGCTGTACCCGTTGTCTCCGCTCTCGGTTTCGGCGCTCGAGGTAGTCGCCGCTTGCTCAACCTGCCTTTCTTCCGATTCGTTCGTCGGTGCTGCCTCCACTTTCGCCTTCCGCCCCGAGCGAAAGGGAGAGACGTATGAGAGAAGGCTACGTAGGCGTGACTGGTAGGGCACAGTTGTGGGTCAGCGAAAAGGGCCAGTCGCCACGGCGGGACGGCGGCGCACCGGTGTTGAAGGAGCAGCCGACTCTTGCGCCGGCACGCGAGTGTACGGCGACTGCCGGCGAGCGTGTCGACTGGCCTGAGCGTTTTGCCGAGGTGTCTCTGACATGGCTTGAGTAGACACACGTCCTGTGTAGCGATCGAAAAAGGTAGCGCTTCAGCTCCTGGACTTGCCTGGATTGTGCCTGGACCGTCGCCCGATGTCGACTGATTCAGGTTCGTCGCATCGTGACAGCATTACAATCGCAAACAATATACGATCTTTTTTCTTTGCAAAAGTCAAAATATGGCCTGGGCAAGCCCGCCCGGGGCTTGCTGGGGCCAACAGTTTCGAGAGGGGTTTCCAGAGTGGATTAAGTTATAATATAATAACGCCGCGCGCTTGCGAAGGATCACTGACTGAAGCCAGCCCTCAACTTCCGTGTCCTGCAGGAATGGGCTTGACTTAGTATGAGGTAGTGTATCGGGATAGTGGGGAGCCCTCGTCGGGAGGTAATACTCGTCCTCCAGACATATGAACTTGAATTATATATTTTACATTGGACCCAGATTAAACGTTACTTTGACCAAGTGTCCGAGTGGTCTAAGGAGTCAGACTTGAACTACACTCGTCATCTGATACGCTATGCGTGCGCAGGTTCAAACCCTGTCTTGGTCGAACTTTTGCCCCGGTTTGGATCCCCTGACACTTTTGATGGTAGTCAAGTGCCTTTCAAAGTGTCAGCTTGGGCAACAGCGACTTGGCACTCTTGGCCATACCCCCCATGTTGCCAGCACAAGTCGAGGTGCTGATCTGTCTGTCTCAACCTCAACATTCCAGAAAGCTCAAAATGGCAGTCACCGGCAGGACATCACTTCTGCCGACCTGGTAACCAAGCACAAGAACTGTCCAGGCAACCATTACCACCAAGAGCTCGAGCACTCCTGCCAACAGGTGTAGCCTCTTCCGTGCCTCTGCTGAGGCAGCCCTTGTCGACAACATTGCCCTTGCTCCCTTTGTGTTGGTGGCAGAATTCCTCCGCCACAAACACAATTGCCTTCTTCCAGAATCTCTTCTCCTGCACAATGTTTAACAATGACTGGGGAGAGGGCCGGCAAGCGGCAAGTCCAAACCTTTGGTGAGCACAGGCTCAGGAAGTACACTTGCAGTCTAGAATTTGTCCCCTCTCTTGTAGTTCAATAGTAGAATTTCTCTTTGGCAAGTTGCTCGAGGCACAGAGAAGAGTGCTTGAAATGCAGGCACGTAAGTCACAGTGAAAACTGCGAGAAGAAAGGGATGCATCATGCAGGGCGCACCACTCTCCAGCTCAATGCGAGAGGGGGTACCGGGTTGTAGCAGGTTGGAGACAGGCTAGAGCCTATAGATAGTGACTCTCAGGTTTTTTGATTCTGAAGAGATATGAGCCAGAGGGAGGGGAGTGCTAAAGAGATAGAGAAGCTATGACCAAATCCAAGCGAAGATCCGTTAACATCCTCCAGGTTTGGACGGAGACGTCTCGAGGTGGCATCTGGCACTCTGTAACCAGTGGGTATAGTTGATCACCTGATAACAGAAGCAAGGGAAGGGGAGTATACATATGGGAGGAAAATTCCAGAGGGAAACCCTCCAGAAACAAGAGTAAGGAATCAAGAAACAGGCCCATATCTTGCGTTCCCGTTCGTGCACTACCTTCTGTTGGGATGTTTGTCTGGCATAGAGGTGTTGTTGTCATTGTCGTCCGGCATAGAGGCGTCGTTGTCACTGTTGTCTCGGTCCTTGTGGTCCTCGCTGTCGTCCTCGTCGTCCTCGTCAGACTGCGACTCGGCCAAGTCGGAGCAAATCGACGCCACAACCGCCGCCGCACGCTGCTCGCGGAAAAACTGGTACCACGCCAGCTCGACGTTGTCCGCGATCGGGTCCAGCATCTTGGCTTTACCCGGAACACGGTGTTATGGTGCCTAATGCCGTAGGGACTAAGAAGACTTGAACGCTGGCTGGGTTAGTCGTAATTCAAGAAGTTTGTAATCTCTCGAATAGTAGCTAGCAATAAGCACACGATAGTAAACCAAGTTTCCAACGAAGAGACTACTAGGAAGGAAAGAGAGAAGGGGCCGCTTTTATAGTTTTCTGGATGAGGTGCTTAGTCATCTGCTTATGTGAGCAGGACTGGGAACGCTTACAAAGCGTGACTAAGCGGGCTAAGAATAGAACAGATCACATAATCAAGAATCATGACTGGGGAAGGGGGAGAGATCACTTGTGGATGTTGCGGTGCAGGACTTGCTCGTCCTCGTCCTTAACACAACCCCCCTGTTTAAGGCGGAACGTCCCGAGACGCCTAGAGAGTGCGTCAGTGTGTGTATGGCGAAGTTCCGGAGGGAAAGGACGAGATGAAAGGCGACGAACAGTGGCAACCTTGAAGCGGCGGTGAGCGGCGATATCGTAGGTCGCGCCGTGGGTGTTGGTATCGAAGTGAGGGTTGACGAACGACGGTCCAAACATGACCCACATGATGTAGTCCCACTCGCGCTGCTTGTGCATGCCGGCGGCCGAGGCTGATCAGGAAAAATCCAAAGATCAGTTTTGGTGAAGTCGTCGCAAAAGATTTCGGAATTGACATACGACGGTTCTTGAGATTGTGGGCCGTGAAGCGCAAGTACTGAGCGCCCATGAGAACGCTAGGCGGCAAGTTCGACGCGAAGTTGACGGCGTGGTAAATGTTTTCGATCGCCTCCAAATCGATGGTGGAGTAGAACTCGCCGACGAGGTCGGTAAGTTGCGAAAGAGGGACAGCGGCAGAGTTGATCCAACCAATGTCGCCCTTGATGTTGATGATCTCGAGTTCAAGCTCGCGGTGGGCCTGGTTCGACGCGCGGAGGTTGATAATGCGCGAAACGACGACGTTGGTGAGGTACTTGTCGACGAAAAGGTCCGAAGTGTAGAAAGCCTGGGGCTGACTGGTGGACGCCTGGTCAGAAATGTAAAGGCGGTTCTGGATGTTGTTGCCGAGGGTCACGACGTCCGAAATGGTGGTAGCAGAGTCGGAGTCGGTGTCCGGAGAGTAGCGACCAGATTCCATGATAGCAGGAGCAATGGGGTGGATGTGAGCGAATGAAAAGAGTTGTGGTGGAGAAGAAAGAGAAGCGCTCTCTCTCGCTCTCCTCTCGTCCGTTCGTGTTCGGGCTTCGGCGACATGCGTTATCTTGCATTGCGGGGCTACGGAGGTCGGCCGGAGGCGGCGGAGCGAGTTGTGTAAGCAGGAACGGCAAAAATCGGTTTTTTCGCTCGACGTTCCGGAAAATGCTGAGTCGCGATTGGTTGCTCGGGTGAAACGTGCGCATGCTGATAAAGCATAGTCGGGGCGATCTCCTGAATTTGGAGTTGCTCGGAGGTGTATCCGCCGAGAGATAAGGGTTTGAGGGTGGAGATGATGAGGGACCGGTGGAATGGCTTGCGAGGCGGAGATTGGACGTAAGATAGGCGAATTGATTGTCAAATGTCCGATTGAGGTGCTAGACTTCGTTCTAGAGCGTAACGATAGGGTCTAGGGCGGTGGTTGAAAGGAGAGAGACAACGAGATCGACGAGTTTGATCAAATTCGGAGGTCCGCGGAGCGGTTTCATCGACGAGCTGCGGAACGTGCTCCTTTTCCAAGGCGGCCGCTCTGTCGTGCCGCGACGGTTCGGACTGCATTAGGGTAGCGAGTATGGAACGCTTCGATCGCTTCTTTCGCGTTATCGAGCGCCTCGACGGGTTCCCAAGTGTCCTGAGAAGGCCCAAATCCTCGCCAACGGATCTTGTATTGTAGCCCTCCATGGTAGGTGCGGGATTCCATGATTTTGTCTACCTCGTATTCTTCTTGACCGTTGACTATGGTGATTGGGGGGACAATAGGAAGGCGGTCCGGAATCGTGTTCTCGCGGTGGCTGTGCAAGAGTGACACGTGAAAGACCGGATGGATCTTGATGTGCGGAGGGAGCTCGAGTCTGTAGACGAGATCGCTGATTTTCTCGAGTACTTTGTATGGGCCAATATAGCGGTGATCGAGCTTCTTGGATTGACGAGTTGTCACAATGTTCCGAGTGCTGAGCCAGACTTTGTCTCCTACGGAAAATTGCGGCGCTTTTGACTTGTTTCGGTCGTAGTAATGCTTCATTCGCTCGTTTGTACGCGTAATTTCGTCTCGCATAACTTGATGGATGGTATTTAGACGATCTGCGAACGTTCCGGCGGTCGTATCGACGGATTTTCGGTCGACACTGGAGAATTCCGCTGAAAAGGATGGGTGGAAACCGTAATTTGCGTAGAAGGGTGTCATTTTGATCGTAGAGTGCACGGTACCGTTGTATACGAACATAGCGAGTGGAAGAAGTTCGTCCCAGTCGTCCTGCTGGTACGAGGTGTAAATGCGGAGGTATTGTTCCAGAGTTTGGTTGAGACGCTCCGTGGCTCCGTCGGTTTGCGGGTGGAATGCGGTCGAAAGGCGCAAATCGACCTTGGTGATCTTCGAGAGTGTAGACCAGAAAGAACTATCAAAGAGGCTACCGCGGTCCGAAACGATATCGTTCGGGAGACCGTGTATTGGGAAGATATGACGATAAAACAGGAGAGCAAAATCAGGGGCAGTAAGTCCTTCCTCCCGACAGGGAATGAAGTGAGCAAACTTTGTCATGCGATCGGTAATAACAAGGATAGAGTCGTGGTTTTCTTTTGTAGTGGGGAGTTTCACGAGAAAGTCAAGAGCGATGGAAGACCAGGGTTTTGTGGGAACGGGCAAAGGCTGAAGAAGGCCGTGAGGCTTTTGACGACGAGATTTGTTTCGGAAGCAGGTATCGTAGGTATTGACGTAATTTCGGAACCATGCTTGGTCTTGGGGAAAGTAGTAGTCGCGACGGAATCGTTCAAAAGTCTTTTCGATTCCAGGATGACCTGCTGCTGGCGAGTCGTGGACGGCTTGCGCGATACGGACTCGTAGAGCGTTTTCGTTCGGTACGTAGATTCGATCTTGCCAACGGAGTATACCGTCTGGGTCAAGAGACCAATGGGCGTCTGAGTATCTTTCTAGGTTTTCCGAAAGACGGAGGTCTTGAAGGACTTGACGGATTGCGTCGTCTGCGTCTTGCGCGACGAGAATCTGATCGGTAAACGACGGGAATGGCTCGATGAAATTTGCAGCGACGGTAAACCGAGTGGTAGGGAAGAACACGACGGGTTCTGATTGATCTGCTCGCGATCCCTCGATATAATCGGGGCGACGAGATAATGCGTCGGAACGACCTTGCTGTGTTCCCGGACGATGATGGAGCTCGAAATGAAGTTCACACATGGTTAAGTATGAGTGGGACAAGGCCGACAAGCGGCAAACCCGAAACTTTTGAAGGAAAGACAGACATTTCCAACCGCATTTTGCCATGAAGGTGCAATGAAAGCTCATTCAAGTCAAGTAGCGACTACCCCTGCACTAGCGCTATGCCTGCAAATCAGTATCTAACCTTCAGACTGCTGACTTTAATAGAGACGCAGTTCAAAGACAGCAGAAGCAACTACAGAAATGATGCAAAGCGCACTTGTCTCAAGCAGGAGCAAGACAAGGAAGCCCTGCCAAAGGACAAAGGAAGCGAAGAATGGTGCGTAGCGTCATGTAGCCCAATCAACTGAATTGGGTATTCCTCCAGGTC